AAATTCATGTGACACGAATTAGAAATTTTTTATTTAATATAGAAAATAATTTGAAAGGACATGTCACACGACTGATACAAATGTTCACTTTGTCTGGTTTTGTTGCAGTATGCCCATATAATCTTTTTAATGCCACAATCCTATTTTCATTAATTTTTTACAATCCTAATTTTTTTACAATTATCTATATGTTTATGACCATTTACCTAAGTAGCTTTATATATAGTTGCAAAACCACCTTCACCAATCTTTTCAATATCTGTTAGCTCATTATAAGAAACTCATTGAAGATAATCCCTATTATTATATCCAATTGCTTTAAGTTGTATACCTTTAATCAACTCATCTAATGTTTCATTGCCACTAGTCTATCCTTTCAGTTAATGATTTAGGATCACATGATTGACACCATGAATCATGTAACTTTTTTAATGCCAAAATTCTATCTTCACTAACCCTTTCTCCATTATAATAAAAAGATCGACATTTCACTGATTCATAGAAAAATGAATATTAATGCAGATCATTTTTAGAATAAAATAATGTCTAGAAAAATTTTATTACTTAAAGAAAAAAACGTCCAAGAGAAAAAAACTAACAATGATAACAATGACAGCAACAACGACCATAACGAGCTTGATCCATACGAAGAAGAATTTTTAAAAAAATCCAATAATTACGCTTGTTTATTTCTACCAGTGCTAGCTCATATGTTAGTTGGAATATCAGATTTATCAAAAATATTAAAAAATAATAATCCATTAAATAATAATAAATTTTGGGGCATAATAGTTACTAGCCAAAGAGCTGTTGAAGGATTGAAAGTTGCTTGGAATGAAGTTTTCCTAGAATCCGGTGATTATTTGTTGTGATAAATTGTTATTGATTGATTTATCAATATGATTTATATATCTATCATCTATATTCTAGAGTCGTCATCATCATCATTATCAAAAATAAGCGAATCATGGTTAAAACTTCCAATTTTCGTTGTAGGAAAAGCAACAGAAAAATCAATAAAAAATTTAGGATTTAATAATGTATTTGGTGCTAAAGAATCTGGATCTTCTGAATTATTAGCAAATTACATAGAAACTTATTATGCTGAACATAATGATCAAACCATACAAAAAAAAAACAATATTTCCGCCTCCACTTCTATTACCACCACTACTGCTCCACTTTTATTATTTCTTGTAGGTGATAAGCGTCGTGATGAGTTACCAAAGAAATTATTGGAGGCAAAAATAAATTTCCAAGAACTTTTAATTTATGAAACTAAACCTAATCCACAATTTTCAATTGAATTAAACAAAATTTTCAAAACATCATCACATCATAATGATGATGATTGGTGGATAGTATTTTTTAGTCCTTCAGGTGTGGATGTAGCAATTGAACCTTTAAAAAAACAATTTGGGGGAAAAGATGACAGCAAAGAATTATTTTGGAGTAGTACCAGTAGTATTAGTAGTGATGGTAATAATAAAAAAATTAAAATTGCTTCAATTGGTAAAACAACAGGTAGATATCTTGAAGACATTAAAAAAATTAAAGTTCACATTATGTCAACAAGGCCGGATCCAGAAAGTTTGTTAAAATCTATTAATGAATATTATAATTTATAATAATGATTCTGATTATTTATTATGATTAGGATTATGATTATAATGATAATAAAATAAGAAAGTTGCTTGTATATATTCTATATATGTATATAAATATGTACAATAATTTATTAATAATAAATACCTGTTTCTGCTATACCAATAATGTCTCTATTTTGTAAACCTATAGGAATTGCTTGTCGTTGAATAGGTGTTGGTTCCTTATGTCCAATATTTTCAATAAGATCAAGTATTCTTTGTGGTAAACCAAATTCCTTCCACGGCCTTATAGAATTTGGAATACTGCCACCTTTAGTTGCAATATTGAAATCCTCTTTGAATATATGCCAGTCTCTCTCCTTCATTTCTGTTAAAGGTTTTTCTGATCAGTATCGATCATCCCACATGGTTTTTAATTCTTTTCGCCTATCAATTTCCATTTTCATAAAAAAATAAGTTATTGATTTTTTTTTAACAATAATTCAAAAAAAGTTTGTTTAAAAAAAAAAAAAAAAAGAAAAAATACTCGGCTCGACCTTTCTGATCCTTTGTTCTAATAATTGATTATAGAATGTTGCACGATCTCTTTTTTGCTCCTTAATATCAATACCAGCAAGATGACCATGTCCAAACATTTGAGCTTTGCGTTTATTTGCATATAAAGGATTAAAATCTTGTGAAGTAACTTCTCCAGCATCCTAATCAAAAACAAATTTCTTCTCATCATTTTACGTATTTTACTTTTTTACGTCCACCCACCACTCATATAACGTTCCTATTTCATATATATAATATAGTTTTTGACATGTAAAGAATACATAACCAGAAAAATGGTAAACTAAATAAATATAATAATAAATAAGATTCATAATAACAGGAATAGATCAATTAACCCTCTAAAGAAAAAAAAAATGAAATCATTACTCTGATTGCTTGCAGTTCCTTATCATCCGTTTTTGAAGTATCATCATCATCATTTTTATTATTTAGATGTTTGTCATTACCATCTCTATCTCTTCCTTTTATTCGATCACGATCGTAATGAACATATTTATCACGATCATAACGGTCATAATAATCTCGATGATCTCTACCATAACCTAAAGTATAAATATAAATAAAAATGCAATAAAGACAGAATAAAAGGCCAATTTGGTACGTTATTATTTAGTCAAGAATTTTGGCTATTGAAAATAAAAATAATTGGTTTATATTTTGATAGTGTAGAGACCGGTTGATAATAAAACAAAGCATCCGTCCGTACCTTATTATTTTCAATTTTTTATGTTTCTCGTAATTTTAACATTATTTTAATTAATGAAGTTTTCATTACAGAATATATAAGGATCCATTTGAATGGAATATATAGGATTAATTTACCACAAAAATAATGACATTAAGAATCAAACGGGGCTTTAAGCCTTTTTCAACATTGTGCCAAAAAAAATTTCAATTAAACAATAATATCACATGATTGATACTGCAGACTGAGTTTCAATTATTCCCCGAGTAGGGATCTATATACGGAATAGAAAAAATTTATCAGCAATTTATTAATCCGTTTCAACAGTATCATATATTTCTTAATTCTTGCAAAATTATTAATAAGTTTTATTATTCCAAACTATTATAATGGGAAAAGGTGTAGAATTAATAATTGATAATAATTCTTTTTTTTTCATATTTTTTTTTTCATTTTGCTGTGCTGTTTCTTTTTGTTCTGTTATTAGAATAGAATGCAGGAATTAATAAAAGCTCCTTGCAATAAGATTTCTTTCAACAATATATTCCTTTTTTCTTTTGAAAGATAGCTAAAATTTTTCATTTTTTCACTCAAAATAACATCATCTTTCAAATTCCTAAAATGGCATCTTGTAAAAAAACTGGCTCTTCCTCAATTCTACTCTAAAACATTGTGATTCAGTACTAAAATCAGGTGTTTTTCATGGTCCCAAACTTTCTCTTCCTTAAATCCAATCATATTAAAAAGATTAGATTTAAATTACAGTTTATTCTATAATGGACCATTTGGCATCATAGATAGTAATGATTATATATTAATATAGGACATATAAATTGGGCTTAAATTCTCAGTCCATTATAGCGCAAGATTTATTATAGAAAAATTTATGAAGATAAGTATAGTTTACTTTCTCTATAATGAAATTTTTGCAATTTCTTGCTGCAATTTCCCAATGATGTTGAGAAGGTACTGGAAGAATCGTGGATTTATTGAATTCTTCCAATATTGCATCAAGGCCTTGATGTTGATTCCAAAATTCAGAAATCTCTGTACTATTTGATTATCATCACTATCACTATCATTATCAGTGATATTCTTTGTCTTCTTCATTATTGTTATCCTATTTCACCTCTTAATTCTTTTCCTTATTAACCAAAGGTTATTTTCATTGGTGGAATTTTTTATAATTGAAGCAACAATTCTTTTCTCATCAGGTGCTCACTCACTACCATTTCATTGAAAAAAAAATTTGAGTCCTGCTCACATAAGTCTTCGCATAAGCCCTAAACATTATTATTATTATTATTATTATTATTTTAAGCAATATTATTCATGCACATTGTATAATTATATATATATATGTTTTATTAAATAATAACAAAAATAATAAAAATATAATAATCAAATCAAATTTTTTTATTGTAAAACTAATGATGGGATGATGTATTTAATCAAAAAAAATTTTTTCACTATTAATCAATTAAAAACAAAATGTCATTAAATTGATCAAATTAAAAAAATTAATACTTAATTAACTTGCTACCAAAAAAATGAAAAAGAATCACAACTATGTGGATGATGTAGCAGTTATGGTGATTTAAGCCTTATCAGTAGTAGTGGTGGTGGCAGTAGCAGCTGAATCTGTAGTAGTTATAGTAGCTGTACTATCTATAGTGGTTGCAGTGGCTGTAGTGGTGGCAGTGGCTGTAGTGGTGGCAGTGGCTGTAGTGGCTGTAGTGGCTGCAGTGGCTGCAGTGGCTGCAGTGGCTGCAGTGGCTGTAGTGGTTGTAGCGGTTTCAGTAGCTGTAGTAGCTGGTGTTGTTGATGACACTTCTGCTTCTTTATCATCTTCATCTTTCTTTTCACTTGTAGCTTCAAAATTTTCAACTAATTCTGGAATGTCATCATCATCTACTGAACCAGTAGCACCACCACTACCACTGCCACCAACAATATCACCTTGTGCACCTTGAGATGATAAATTGAGATGATAAGATTCTGCCAATTTACGAAGTGATGCAAGGGAGTCTGGTCCTAGTTGGTTCAAAATTCCTGGTACCAATTCTGTAAGATCCTTTTCTTCACCATGACCATTAATTACAAATGTATTTGAATGAACTGATGCTTGAACTAATAATTATTTATTTATTTTTAATTAATTTTAGTAGGAAGAGAATTTAGTGTTTTATAAATTGATAATGATGATAATTATAAATGATGATAATGATGATAATTATAAATGATGATAAATGATGGATATTAAATAATGAATGATGATCATAATATTGATAACAGTATAATCATAATAATATTAACTTTCATTACCTTTTGGATTAGTAAAATGGATAACAGATCCATCTTCTTTAAACATATTTACTTCTTCAATTGTTGGAATTGCTTGAACATTAAGTTTCTTGAGTGTAGACTGTAGTTTTTTATCATCATTATTAACAGTTTTATATACCTTTTTAACCTTACGTCTTGGTGTTCCTTTACCACCTATCAATAAACTAATAATAATTGATTATTTTGTTCAGAAAATTTTTTTCCATCTTGAAAATATAAAATAAATTTTTTTACCAATCCGAACTTGTGCTTGAAGCTTGGCAAGTTTTTCAGGATTCATATCTATCTATATGCTAATAATAATAATAATAATAATAATAATAACAATGTTATTTCTTGCCTCACCAAACTCTTAATATTTTATTATATTTTATATATACAACTTTGTACATATATAGGTAAAAACATATACAGAACAGATATTTTAAAAAGATAATTAAAAAATTCTAAAGTATTAGATTGAGATAGATGATTGGTTAAAATTTTAAAAGAATCAATTTCCAGATTTTTTTTTCCAAAAAAAAAAACATCATAATTTAATTTTTTTTAATATATATTTACAAAATGGTAATTTATTATTAATGCATTTGTTATTTAAATGAATCAAATTCATATTAATTTGATTGATTATTAATACGTTATCTAGCCTACAAGACTTAAAAAGAATAGAAAAAAGCGTGGTCATGTTTCTGCAGGACATGGTCGAATTGGTAAATGAACAAAATCAAAAAATTGAGCTTTTTTTCTCTCCCTATAATATATGTATATATATATATATATATGCTCATCAACCAATTAATCAATACTTCCTTGCCAAAAAAAAATAATTACATGAAGGTAAACACCGTAAACATCCGGGTGGTAGAGGTTTAGCAGGTGGTCTACATCATCATCGTACCAACATGGATAAATATCATCCTGGTTATTATGGTAAAGTCGGTATGAGACATTTTCATATGACTCGTAATCAATCCTATTGTCCAACTGTCAACTTGGATAAATTATGGACTTTGGTGTCAGAACAAACAAGGAAAATCTATGCTACTAAGAAGGATAATAATCTTGTACCTGTGATTGATACTCTGAGAGCAGTAAGTTTATTTGTATATATTTGTTATGCACGTATTTATATTTAATTATGCTAATATTAATTAACAAATAGGGATACGGTAAAGTTTTGGGTAAAGGTCGTTTACCTGATCAACCAGTTATTATTAAAGCACGTTATGTTTCTAGACGTGCAGAAGAAAAAATAAAAAAAGTTGGTGGTATTGTTCAATTAATTACATAATAAAAAAAAAACAATGATTTTTCAAAAAAATTATATATATAAGTTGTTTAAAATAAAATTTATTTTATATCAAAATTAACATGTTTATTTCTCATACAAAAACTATGTAAAATGTTATTGATAATGGTTTGTCTAAATGATCTTTGTGATGTATCTTGTTTACTTCATCAATAAGATAACCTGGTATTGCTATAATGGAAAACGTAATCTATAGTTCAACAAAGGATATCTCCCTCCTCACTTTTCTTTGGTTTCTTCTTTGGCTGGCTTCTTTTTTATTAAAAATCTAGTGGATATTCAAGTGATTAATATATTGAATTTTCAATCACACAACAAATGAACTGTCAACATTTTCTTTTAATTAATTGTTGCACAACACGTCAAAACAATATTTTAATTGATCATGCCAAAAATACAAAAAGAAAAAGAAAAAAGAGGTATTAATAAGTTAAGTGCAGCAATTAGATGATCATCAGATTCTGGTAGTTTGGTTAGGTATCAAAAAATGGCAGAATCAAAATCAACAACAAATAATGACACATTATTGACTTCAAAATGGTTGAAAAGAAAAAAATTAGACGAATTAGGTGAATATATTTTTATAATGCAGTTTAGATTATAACACATATACACACTATTAACTTAAAAAAATTGTTTAATCAATCATTATTTTGAATATTTATTAAATATAAGAAAGGTATATGTACTATGGAAGAGGATGAAGTATTATATGCAGCATTAAATAAATATAAAATTATAGGCTGCTATTATTATATATAGGTTTATTATTATAGAGAGATGCATATTTATATTTATATATTTATGTAACTAAACAATTTGACTGATAATGAACTTCACAAGTTAATATATGGAACTACACCAGCTGAGCATAAAGGTTTCTGGTGCGAAATTAGTAAATCATATATGTATTATTGTTATATATTTATATATAATGTAATATATTATTGCTAAATATAATACTTGTGGATTAAAAGCAACTCCATAAGTAACAAGGCCACTAAAAAATGTGTGTATACTTACATGAGAGATGGTGTTGATTAAAATATACAATTCAAGATTCCACCTGATATTATTATAATCATTTCTATCTAAAGACTAGTGCCGTAAATTATGATGATGGTAGTAATTGTATTTACGGCATATAAAAAGTGGTTGCAATTACCTTTGCGACCACTTTTGCAACCATACTTTTTCCTTTTTTGGATTACGGCACTAGTCTTTATTTCTATCATCATAAGAATAAAACATAAAAAAATTCAATATCTTATAATAATATCTATATATTACTGTATTCTTTTAATTTATTAATTTAAATAATATGTCTTACATGAATTGCATCTTGCACCATGAATTGTGCCTGCATCACATCTTGCTTGAATGATTCAATCAAATCTCTTATTATATGTACCAGGAAAAATAAATATACACTTCAATATCTTCATTTGAAATCCTATTTAAAGTATGAAAAACAATAAATAAATTATAACTACTTGAAAAAACCAAATCTGTTATTCGAATTTTGAAAGTTTATTTGTACCCAATATCTTGTGTAATTAATGTGTTTGATTGAGCAAGAGCTGCAAGGCAACATTAAAGAAATTTTATTATCTTAAGCCTTTGAATTGATTTACCTATTTATTATTATTGTTGTTGTTGTAGTTATTTGTAATGCTTGAGGTATTCATAATACACTGGTAGAAAATATTTAATTCATGATATGTGAAATCCAAAAAGATTTTCCAATAATTGTGAAAATTATTGTAAAATATCATTATCATAAATATTTTGTCTTTGTGATTTGTTTTAAAAAGACAAAAATGGTTTAAAATAATTATTTATTACAGGTCATATTCATGATTTTGAGGTTCAATATTATTCAAAACAAAGTGTGAAGAAGTTTATGATGCAATAAGGAATTGGTTATAAATAGGCATAGGATTTCAATTAAGGCTCTGCATGGCCAGCTCGCAAGCTGGCTTGTGAGGAGCTTTAGTTTCAAGAAATGAGGTTACTAGAAAATAAAAATTCCAAGAACTAATGAACTTTGTTCATCTGAACTAGATCAAAATGGTGACAATTTACATAACAATTCACAATGGAATCATTTTCTTGGACTGATGCAGCAGCAAGGTAGCAAAGTACATTATTAACTCGAAATTGAGATTTTTGGCAGTTAAGGCTGTTTCTATTTTCCGCGCCCCATTTTAGCTTAGAAATTATATCCACTTCACTTAGTAAAATCTTGAGATATTTAAAGAAAGTGTAAAAACATAGTAAACCATAAAATGGCAATCTTAACTAAAATACTTTTATTAATAAATAATATTGAGATAATACATTAATTACAAACAAACCTACTTATAATCAATGTCCCGATATTTTTAGGGAGGGATGAATTTTATGTGTTAGCACTAATACTAATACTAATGTTATTTGACGAAATGTTGTAAAACTATTATGTCAAATTCGCTGCCATTGAGTCAAAAATGACGCAAGTAAAAACATTTGATGCAAGTAAAATTGCTAATAATAAAATATAGAAGTTCACAATAAATATATCTCCCAAGGTCTTCTCTTCAATTTTATATTTTGTTTCATTAGTTGTTCCTAAGGAGCTAAATTTTCTTTTGCTGAATTCAAATTCGGTCCCCGCCTACTTACTCACATTTCTTATAACGTGATACATGATTGGGGTAGATAATGAATACTTATAATTTCAATTTTACATACAACAATTATCAAATGAAAATTTTACGCAATGCTTTTATTAAATGGAGGTTTTTATAATATCAATATTGATTGATTAAAATTACCTTGCAATAATGAACCTTTAATTTTCCCACAATTCACAATTAACTTGAATAGGGAATGGCTTGTGGACTTTTCTTGAAAAAGAAATAACTTCGGATCTTCAAGAAAAATAATAAATAATTAACACAACCTCTGTCATTATTTTATTAAATAAAACAAGATGAAGCTGCTAGTGCTCCCATTCACAATTACCTGCTTACAGAGAAGAATTAAGGAATTCTATTACAAATCAATATCAATTATGTGATATTTTTAATGCAGATGAGACTGGTTTATTTTGGCAACTAGAACCATCCAAAGTATTGTCAACAGGACCTGTGTCTGGAAGAAAGAAGTCAAAAGAAAGAGTCACAGTACTACTAATGTAACGCCAGTGGAACAGAAAAATTAAAACCATTATTTATACACAAGTACAAAACGCCTAGAGCTTTAAAACATATTTACAAAGAAACTCTACCAGTAGACTATTACTGGAATCTCAAAGCATGGATGCAAACATCTATTTTTAATGATTATTTAATAAATTTAAATAGATCTATCCAAAGTCAAAATAGAAATATTTTGTTATTACTAGACAATGCTCCTACACATACTGTTAATGAACCAACAAATCTAACAAATATTAAAATTCATTTCTTCCTCCAAACCAGTGTTGAAATTTCGTTGTGTAACCAGTACAAATTTAGAAACTATATCCAAAAATTAAAAACTTGATTGGTGTGTAATGTTACACCCCTGCATTCCTGCACCGAATTTTCAACACTGCTCCAAACACTACAGCATTTTTACAACCATGTGATGCGGGTATAATCAATAGCTTCAAGGTAAAACAATTATAAATTCAATTTTTTTTAAAAAAAATTTTTAAATATAATTTTCTATTATAGGCAAATTACAAGAAACTTTTTTTGAAAAAGAAATTGAAAAATTATGAATTACAAAATGAAGGTGAAGAAATTGTTCCAATTACAATAAAACATGCAATTAAGTATACTGCAAAAGCTTGGGAGAATGTCACCAATCAAACAATAATTAATTGCTGGAAAAAAACAGCAATTTTACCCAGTGTAGATGAAAACTCTACTGAAGTTACATCTTTCCTAGATTCTTCGAGAAATGACAATGAAAATGAATTGCAAAATTTAATTAATGAACTTAAACTTACAAATCCTTTATCTGGATTAGAATATCTTTCCATTGATGACTGAATGAAGAAGTAATAATTTCTATGTTGAATTTTAATGAAGAAAATCAGGATGAAGAAGACATCAAAGAGACACCTATTTCAAGTCAAGATATTTTATTGGCTATTGAAAAAGTAAACTTGTTTGTTGAACAACAGTTTAAGGAATTTACAAATGAGGAATTGAAACTGTTAAAAAATGTCAAAAAGAAACTTAAAAAAATAGAATTCAATTCAACAAAACAATCTAAATTAGACTGTTTTTTTGAATAATAATTTTTATATAATAGTAATAATAAATAAATAAAATTTTTTATTCCGCATGACTTAATGTAGTACAATTGTCTATAACGGATAAATTTTCTGGGCCCAATGATCCATTATAGACAGTGTGGACTGTATATGTACAATTTGCATACATAAAAAATACACGATTTGTATGTATATTATATGCTTAATCCCTGCAATTGTGTATTATATACACATAATATTTGTACCCATTTTCCTGATGTATGACGTTACACCTGGGCATTGTGGGCATTGAATTTATACACCGATCCTGTGGTCCTAAATTTTGAATTGGATCTGACAATAAAATTTAACTATGTTTATTTTTTTATTGTTCATAAAAGAAAATTATGAATTTTTAATATTCCATGAATCTCACTTGTAATGCTGTAAATATAGTACATGCAATAAAAAGTCTTTTAGAAGAATTAGATTTATCATCAAAAATATTGAGCATAATAACTGACAGTGCAGCAGCAATTGGTAATGTTGTGCATGAAAATTAATTAAATTTTGGGGTGGGTTACAATATTCCAATTGGCTAATTTGAGTGTGACTTTCAAATAATTTGGAGGGGAAATAAAAAATGAGTGTTTTTACAAATAATGGTTATACCATTGTGGTTCCCACATATTCAATATTGCTGTATGGTATGGATTGCAAGTTCATGATGAGACAGTCACTAAAGTGCATAATT